AAAGTATAAGATTGTATCAGGGTCTGTTTCAGTAGTTCGACAGTCAAGATCTTGTACATTTAGCTGTTGAAGTGAAGACGACTTAGATTACATTGCCATAAACAACGAGTTTGAGGAGGCCCAAACCCATATGATAGAATTAAAATAGATACACAGGAATGCCTGAACTAGCGAGCATCTTACGACATCTTATGTGTGTGTAAGATGTGGATGCCTATATATATATACATATGGATGCTGAAGATCACCTGAGCGTCGGCTGACAGACCCAAGCATGTTCGCTGACCGGTTTTCGATGAAGGAGCCACTAATTGGTGAGCGTGCTATTGATGGTGAGGATACAATTTTTCCAAGTTAAGATGAATGGATCCATCGATTCTATTAAGCCACATGGAATCAGTATCGGGAAGCAGAAGTAAAGATAGGATTCAGTGCTCCAAACGAGCAGATTTTACACCAAGTACCCGCCTACTCACTGGATAATCGCCAAGGCTACATCCATGGGTGCACGTTTGAGGACACATGCAGTCCCTAGATCCCGAAGGCCAACTCCTACGGTTGACCAGTTCTAAAACCTCTTTTGCCTCTACTCCGCTGCGTCTGTAACTCCGCCTTCAGATGACCGTTATACATACGGCACCCTCAGCATCCCAATCGGACTAACTGAGCAAGCCTTAAAGGCATCTCCATAACAGTAGGATTTCAGCTTCAGCGTTGACACTCTTGGAGGCTTGTGGTCATCTGGATTTATTAAGTAATTGATGAGGTAGCTACTACGGCTTTGAGTAATTAGGTATTTTGGATAGGCACGCATGAAAATGTAACCTAGTTGTAGTTGGTTATACATTTTTTCGGAAACCCTATCGAGTAAGATCAGCCTCCAGAAAACAGTGGCTGAATTGACTAGACTACGTCTGTTTTGATGCAGTGAATGAGCAGAAAAATAGTTTGCCAAGGGCAGTTGTGTATGTTTCAGGAATTGGCTTGGCATATGGACATCTACGTTTTTTCATCGTTGGTTCAGACCATTGTGTATAGCAGGGCTTTATAATCAGCTGCCAACATAGACAACATGAGTGACAACGCGAACACGCATGGGTATGGGCGACTGTCATTAATCGTCGCATTAGCCTATCATGCGTAGTTCAGGCCTCATGCTCGGCCGCGTGCATAGATACCGGCTTGACAGTTACCATAGGTAGCCAGGGAGCGTGACTTTGCATATGGTCATGAGTATGGCGGGTCGTTTTTGTCTATTGAATTAGGTTACCTTGCACAATTTTGGATTCATAATCAGTGTCGCAAATAAACACGAGGCAAACAGTCACGTTAAGTTGTCAAAAAGAGCAACAACGCCCACAAATATGGATATGTCGGGCCGTTAGATTGGGTAATCATGCATAATTGAAGCCTCGTGTACGTTGGCATGGATCATGGCCTGGGTTTTACTGTGAGACAACGCGTACAGTTATCAGTGTTACGTACTATCATTGACCATTGGGTTACGTTACTGTGCATACCTGAGCCCTTATAATCAGCGTCTAAACGACCAAAGTGGTTGACTGCGTGTGCTGTTGTCACGATGATCGGTAGTATTTAGCCCCATTTTGTTCAACGTTGTTGCGCTCGATGGCGTATTCCAACTAAGGAGTGCGATTGGTTCTAATGCAAAATATATTTTTGTGCTGTTTATAAATGCGCATTTGTAACGCTGCACTATCTGCTAAATAGTTATGCATATCAACGAATGAAGATCACATACATAAGTGCAGTCTGTCTGGCCAGTTTATCTGGCCGCCTCCAATGTCCGCACTCTGAAGCAAGCAGGACAACAGGCTGCTCTTGCACTCACACCGGAATCGCTTGGCCTTGATATGTGCTGTGTTTCAGAAACGAGAATTCAAGATGCAAGCACAGCGATTGAGTTGACCGCCCTTTCAGTCTCAACTCGCTTCCGGTTACGCACCTCTGGTGATCCGGTGGCTGCTGCGGTGGGATGTGCAGGGGTTGGTATGGTGCTAAGTCACCGGGCGGAGCAATCCTTGCTTGATTGGATTCCTGTTGATAGTCGCCTCTGTGCGGTTCGTCTGACAATGTCTGTGAAAGAGTCTCAGAAGCGGCAGGTTGATGTATGTCAATTTATTGTGTCTGCCTATGCCCCAACTGACTGTAGCTCCGACGCCGTCAAAGACAGGTTTTACAAAACCTTGAATGCCCTATTGCGGCAAGCTAAAAGTTCAGACATTGTGGTGGTTGCCGGAGATATGAATGCTCAAGTGGGCAAGCTTAGTGCACCCGAGATTCAATTAGAGGGTCGACATGGACTGGACTCGGTACATACGGAAATTGGAAACGATTGATTTAGCTCTGTGTTGATCGCAGGCTGTTTTTATGCAGTACGAGCTTCCGAAATAGCCGAAGTCGTCTGGCAACTTGGTGTCCTTCAACGACAGGCCAGGCACAAACTCAAATCGACCACAGTGCCATCAATTACCGATGGCGCGGATCCATAACTGACTGCCGGTCGTTTGGGGAAATCTTTGTGGACTCTGACGACGCGCTCGTCCGGAGTGGACTCTCTCTACGTTTCTTGGGGCCGCGTAAGGTGCGGACAAACCGCATGGCAACTGAAAGACTGACAGATCCGGATGTCAGACAAACTTACAAGGATCGTCTTCTAGAGTCTCTTCCAAACGCTCCATCATTAGATGTGAACCCATACTAGGACGAGAGTGCCACCTCTTTGTATAGTGCTCGGAATTTTGCCTGCGGCACTACCCGACCATGCGCAATGAAGCATTGGATATCAGACCGAACGGTGGCATAAATCTAATCTCCAAGTAATATCCCAACCGGTCCCGAAAATAACCCGGTGCGAAGAGCTATTAGACGTCAAGTGAAAGTGAGTTTGCAACCATGGAATGGAGCATGGTGGACACAGAAAGCCAAAGAAATGGAAGAGGCCCAGAAAGCCGGCTAGGCCCGGAGATTATTTCAGTTGATCTGTGCGGCCGGTCCCGGGCAACCACCTGTGAGTCAAATCATCAAAAATCGGAATGGAACGACCACTTCGAACAAAGAAGAACGCCTCGACCGGTGGGCTGAATACTTCAAACAGCAACTGTCCCACCCACCAGCCGGAATTCATCTAGAGCCCACAGGTGAAGTAGAACCCTGGACGGTGGAAGTGGAACCACCTACGGCTCGGAGGCGACTGCATACTGGACGGTGGAAGTGGAACCACCTACGGCTCGGAGGTTTTCGACTGCATATGTCCTCTCACGCGCCACCGAGCTCCCGGTTCGGATGACCTTCCACCCGCACTTTTCAAAGACGGCGGTGAAGTCATCAGTCAGCACTAGTTCGATCACTTTGCTTGCATTTGGGAAAAGGAGTCCGGAGCTAGAACAACGCCAAACGTATAAGCGACCCACAATTTTAATATTCCCGGATTTCCGAGGTGCATTGGACTCGGTTGATCGGTCTGTTCTTCTTGAGACGCTTGCCCGCCAAGGAATGCCCCAGAAGTTTGTAAACATAATACGTTCTTTGTATTCACAGACTTTCGGACGCGTGAGTGTGTACGGAGAGCTCTCCAAAAGCTTCCGCCCACAAAGTGGTGTCCGTCAGACATGCCCGCTCTCTACGTTCCTTTTTAACTTCGTGATCGGTGAAATACTGAGACGAACGCCGGAGGGACTCCGAAACCCCGGTGTTCGAATAGCCAGTGAAGAAAACCTCGTCGATCTGGAATATGCAGACGACATCCTTCTCATGTTCGAAGAGGAGAAGAAGGCGCAAGTATTCTTGGATGAACTGACTAAAGTCATCCCGTCCTTTGATATACACTTTGCACCCACAAAGTTGTTGTAAACATGCAGTCACTGAACACGCCACTTGCAATCCAGGGAGAGGCACTGGAAGTTGTGGAGCGTTTTACGTATTTTGAAGTTGCATTACTTCTGATTGTAGTGTGACAGATGAGGTGAATGCACGAATCTGCAAGGCTCGGGCCGCGTTTGCTAACTTGAGACACATGGTGTCAGAATGGTTTATCCCTGAATCTGAATTGACGTGTGTATCAAGCTACAGTACGGGCTGTTTTGTTGTGTGGCCGTGAGGCTTGGCCTATTCCAGCAGCGTAGCTGAGATGTCTTCAGCTTTTCGACAATCGTTGTCTCAGAACCATAGCTCATGTGAATTGGTGTCGGCGAATCCGTTATGAGGCAGTTAGAAAGCGTGTTTTGGTTGTGTAACGGGTACTTCCATTGAGGAATGTGTCCAGCACCAGAAGCTGCGTTGGTTGGGACATGTGTTACGTATGCCCAGCCATCGTTTGCCGAAGAGAATGCTGATTTCATGCCCAAGTCAGAGTGGCGTAAACAGAGAGGTGGCCAACCCTTGACTTGGCAGAGGAGTATGAAGGAGATCAGGAAACCCTTGGGTGATGTCAGGGCCACCCGCCTTCCCGGGTGGGGACCGCGTGATCCTCATTGCGCCTGGTTGAGGACGCTACAGGATATGCCTGTCAACCGATGTCAGTGGCGTTCTTGTTGTCAGTTTCTATCCAGATTGTCTGAATGAACGTCTGGAGGAGTTGGCACATGGGAATGGTTGTGGTAAGCCAGCACTAAGTCCCTTCCCAGTTCACCTATATTTTTTCTTTACAATAAGGACAAAGATGGGTTGACGACCATGTTTTCGGCAACGCCCTTTCAAGTCGTACAATTGCAAAGGTTAAGAGAGCGGTATTTAACATATATGAATGAGTATGGTGTAAATGGACAGGGAATCGGGTGAGATGACATTGGCTATCTATCAAAGGACCATTAGTTCAGGCCACCAATAGGATGACTTGAGCTTGTCAGTTCGGGGGGTGTTGTAGTTGTGTGTTCGGCACACGGTGCATGTGTGTGGGGAGTTGAGTTGGACCATGGTAAGTACAACACACGAACAAAGCGTTTTTGTCGACAAAGGATCGGGTCGCGATGTCGTATGGCGATAGCTCCAGGCACTGCAAATGTGCGCTGCTGTACTGATCTGGGTTGGTTAGCCGGCGCCTTGTAAACAACGCGGAAACTTTGGCTGGGTATCACTTTGTGTGCAGTGTCAGCGAAATGTTGTACTACGGAGCTGGTTATCGTCCTCCTAGTTCCAGAAGCTAGCCAGGGTGGGTTGTGTTCCTTCATTACAATAAGGCTTTCAAATAAATCATGGTCGTACGGCAGTGAATCATTAGCGCTGAACACTGATGTCATGCTGTCGATAAGGATGATAATGGTGACACAATTGCACAGTATCTTCAGTAGTGCACAGTCCATGCATTTCTCGTTCGTCATCGTACTGGACGGTGGCAAGCATCCCAAAAGACTCTGTTGTGCCGAATGTCGATGGACAAATTCAGTTTTTTTTGTCGCGTTTGAGGGGTTCTACGCATTTCACTGTTTTTGGGTGGAATTAGCTTTGGATACTGTGTGGATGTTATCTCAGTTGTAAACAACACTGCAGAGAGCTACGATATACCACAGTTTCAGTTTGTGCTAAACCTCGTAAACCAGTAGTGAAAGGAAAATTGGTAGCGGTCAGCGACCTTAAAATTTCGGTCACCTGAACAAAATGCTGTGAGCCATATATCACCAAAACCTGCAAAATTATTGGACTGCTTCTTCGCGAAAATCGCACCTTTGAAAATCTCACAGTTTCGCATTAAATAATTTAGACGAGCGTTCGGTTGCGCTGGAATGTCTGCTTAGGTTAGCTCGAGGTGTAATTTGGGCGCGAAATCAATATTTCTGAACGCTGTCTTGATTCCGTGATCTCTCCGCAGAGACGGCGGAATGTTTTGTGCCGAAGTTGATTTTGCCACGTGTTTCCGCCGCTAGTGAACTTACATTATTAATAGTCACGTATTTTTCTGCCGAGCCTAATCTTCGTTCCTTGATGGGTTCGTGAGAAAAATAGGTGGGTTTATGGGCAGAACGAGCGGCAACATACTGGGACAGCCAGTATCTGGAGGATTTGGCACAAATTAAACAGACTGAGATTATCTGGTGGACGTTGTAACGCGCTCGAATGGGAAACAGTAATATATTTAGTCACACACGAGTAACCCTCAGGACTGGACATAGCGGGCACCGTGTCGCTATTGTGATGTCGTAATTGATTTCATGGGGAGCCCCGTAAACAAACGGCTTGAGTGAACCAGCTAGGGTTGTACTGGTAGTTGGGACAAGCCGGTTAATAGTAATAAAACAAGACTATTTTGGAGCAACGACACCCTCGGATCCATCGAGGGCCCAGTGTTTATGATTGCTGCAACTATTTCCTTCCTACACTTGACGTAGCACTCTCGCTCGCCCGATGCGATAACTGTAAATGTGGACAAACTCCTCGTCTGGACCCAGCCGCTTCCACGAGGTGCTCATTCTAACCTTGTGAACATTTCGTTCAGATTTAAACATTTAGTTTGACTTTCAGTTTGTACTCCGACAAAGTCAATAGTTTTTTGTACATTTCGCATTTCGGCTTGTGCGTTGTCATCAAGTCACTCTTCCAGCTACACTAGAACAACACCAGTGTGTCCCTACATTTTCAATGTACACCGTAACTTGGATTCCCACTGTCATTAATCCGTATTGCCGATTCCTCTACATTGCCAATAACTTTTAAGCTTTATTGACCATGTCCACAAGAACAACAGCCCAAGGCCACTAGGCTCTAGCAAGGGCTTGATTTTTCAATAAAAATTGATCTTTTGGATTACGCCAAATCTATTGCTTCATCAGCTCCGCTGTTTTGCTCCTTGTTGATGATGGTGATCTTGCGTGGAATAATCAGCTTGCCGAGACACCTTCTGCGTGAAACGCTCTAGATTTAAGAATGGTGCCCTTCAATGGACAGCCGAAGTTCTCTAAACGGTTGCTGGTCACCTGATCAATGTTAAACAGGTTCAATTTTGGGGAATATTTCGCTGGCTTCTGATACACAGACAACGTGCCTTGCGGCAAAATATGAACCGCGAATCCGTGCGACCAGTATTTTCACGCCTGGGAGGAAGCTGCGTGCCAGCAGTATAATAAATGGCGTACCTGCTTTGCGGATTTCCCAGACGAGCCATATGGCGAAGGGTGCAAGTGGTCTAAACAAACTGACGTATAATGTGAATGTGCTTCTTGGGAGCCCCACAATGATGTGAATGGCCAAATACCACGTCCCGATTTCATTCATACCAGCAGTTTATCCCAACGGACCACTGCACTAGATACATTAGAACAACTGTGGAGAATGCTGCTGCGCTTTCGCGATGCAAACTGGTTGTAACGTGTGTATCCTCAATTATAGGTCTGGTGACCATCCGCACTTGTGAAGCTTTGACAGGACCGTTGACACCATTTGTCCCAATAAAACCAAAGTGTCAGTTACTTACTCAACCGAAGCTCTCAGTATATCCCGTGACATCCGTGAAAGTCCTGGTTGGCAAGAACGTCGTAAATCTGCTAACATACGGTAGGAATGAAAACCTCGTGTGGTGGCCGGGTGCGGTCTGCCACGTTTCTCCATTGTATGTAAGTAAACCCGCCGCCCCTTCAGCACCACGTGCACACTGCTCACCAACGGCCGCTATTATTCTGGCCTTTAATTCGGGAAATTTACGAAAAAGCACCGCTGGTTTCTGTTTGTTGCTGCTGCTGGTCTCGTCCCGGTTGTCACCCATCTGGAAACGACAAAAACTACAAATGGTAAAAGACTATTTTTGTCCAAAAAAATTCTTGAGAAAGCACACAAAGAGTGGCTTAAAGATACTCTGCAATGTCCAAGGCTTATATCAACGTGCAAAGCTGCTTTCGTGAAGCTGACTTTACCATAAATGGGGTTGTACCACACCAAAGCTCATCATGTCAACGAAGCAAAATACACCCAACTACTTCTCCCAGGATAGAATACCTACATAGAATTGAATAATATATACCATCATATATATGAACCAGCATATTTATACCCGCATACAAGGCTACCACCCAACGGATTTTCGCCACACACCATTTGTTGATTGAAGCTGATAGTAATAATTCGGGGACTGTCGACTTAAGTTCGCTTTTCCTCCTGGAATAAGGTACTTTACAACTCACGTAATAACCCACAGAAAATCTTGTCCACCATCTCCAGGGTTCTAATCCTACCAGTCTTTGTGTTTCACTTTCCCTCTCCATCCCTCTGCGTACTTAGACCAATTTGTTCTGTCTTTTGTGATATAAGTCTTCATCGGCAAGCTTAGACAGCTATTGATCGTTAAGCTACTAAGTACAAATCTGCCCCCACCATTTCTCATTTAATCACTTGCTGTCACCATAGTTGTGCTAAACGTTTAGTTTTTCTCTCTCTTCACGGACCTTATCCTATCTGACGCCTTTCAAAACTCACCAGACCCCACGCATCTGACCAAATTTTATTTTTTTCCCAGGCTCCGACCCTCGAAAATGCCTGTTTGGGTGTTGTCTACTCCCATAGGTATCCCCATACGCTCCAAAAATGCCTGCGACCTTACATAACCTTTGTTCCACCTCTGCGGATTCCTTTGGGTAAACAAAAAATTCCGTTGCCCACAAGATTATGTACCCCAGTTCAATCACCTTAAACAAGACGCCCGTCACGGGGCTCCCAAAAAACGGAGTATCTCGGTGCAGTGATGGCACGGTACAGTGACATACTATGTACCTCCCACTGCGAACAAGCTCTTCACCTTTTCTTTGTCGCCTTCGTAATGCATTCATTCCAATTTGCTAAACCTTTCATTGGGAGCTAGACACCTCAATAACTTTCATCCTGTGCACCTAACAAAGTAGTTATTTCCTGTGCGCTTTGAGTTCCGTCTT